GCTGACATATATGTTATGTATGCTATGTGAGAAACACTGTGACATTATGGAAACTTCAAAAGAGTTTGTGAAGTTATGTATGTTATGTGAGAAACATTATGAAATTATGAAAACATCAAAAGAACTCGTGAAGATCAAACCTATGTGGCCAAGGGCCGACTTGTGACTTATGAAGCTATGAGGCCAAGGGCCAAACTTGTGAACTTGTGAATCCAAAGGGCCGAAGGCCGATGTGATGAGTTGTGAATCTATGAAACCTAAAGGCTATCGTGAATGTGTGAACCCCTCAGGCCAAGGGCCGAGCTGTGAAATTGTGAAACCAATAAAGTCATCTATAATCTAATGAAAATGTACTTACTTTTCGTTACTAATTATCAGGAATGTCCTGTTAACTTTACGTTAATTATGTCAACTGGGCCATTTCTTGCAATTTCTTTTCCTCTCTTCTTCTCCCCTCTTCCATGTTCGAAACCCTAGCCCCAAATCCTTGAATTCCTTTACTTTGCTCATGATCCACCATGGTTTTTGGCATCAAGGATGGAGAACAAGGGAGGATCAATGTTTTTACCCGATTAGAACTTGGATTTGTGAAGGCTTCTTCTCAAGCTCACTTCTTTGCTTGATTATTGAGGTAATGGTTTGAATACTCTTCAATACTTATATCCATAGATAGATTTGTGACATTTTATTATCTAAATACAAAATTTCCATGTTTAGAGCTTGTAGTGTATAGTATGAGATTTGGGGTTTTATGGTTTGAAGATGTTGGGAGTTAATTAATGGGTTAAAATGATGAATTGTGAATCCTAGATGTAGAATCATTGGGAAAATTGGAATTAAAAGTGGTAATTTAAGAAGTGTGAATTTTTGTTAAAAATCCTCATTTTTCTTGAAACCCTAGGTTGATTAATGATGATACCCAATGATTTGGCCCAAATTGAAAGTAGCATAATGAAATTGAGGTATTGAATTATATGTGTTCAAGTTTAATTAGAATTTGGAAATGTTTGAAGATTATGTTTAAAATTTGCGAATGAACTTTGTTATGAATATTGGAATTCATGCTAGCATGTGAAGGGAAAATTGGGGAAATAATCTATTAATGGTATGAATGATATGAACTTGGTTTTGGAATGTTGAAATGGAATTTAAGAATTTCTCTTGAATTATGTTGAATTATATTTAATGATGTTGAGTTGAATCATGTTGCTTATGTTGAATTGTAGTGATTATGTGAGATGGTATTGACTATGTTGACTTTGATTTTTGTGACCTAAAATATAGAGCTTTAGGATGTCTAGAAAAGACTTAGGCATCATGCATTAAACCCTTAGTGCATATGAAAGAAAGTGATGGCAACGTTAAATGCAATTTGTTAACGCTAACGATTATCACCTCTATCCATTGTATATTCTTTGTGTATATTGTGAATGATTGTGATGTAGAACATGGTAAGGCATGCAGATGGGGTTAAATCAACAGAATTGCGCAGCGGAAGCATGGTAAGGGTTCGAGCTGATCGGTAAGACAGTCCTTATGTCAATGATTAAATAAGATGTATGTTATCGATTGTTATTTGCAGATTGGAAGTTGCTTATCATCTGTTTAGATGAAGTGATTAAACCCTAGGTATGGAATAATCCTAAGACTAAAGAAAATGATATAGTCTTCCTTGTCACAACAATGTTTAGATCTGTGATTTTGTGCAATTACTGCATATGAGTATTTGATAAGATGTGTTTGTGGGCTAACTGAACTTGTGTTGAATACGAATGGCTGTTTGAAGAAGTTATGTATATAATGACCCCTCTTAGAATTGTGTGTAATTTGTTATGGAAGTCTGTAATTCGAAATTTGCATTCTGAAATATGAAATTCGACATTTGAAATCTCACACTACCATTTGTAATCTATTTTGTTATGTGTAAATTGTAATCTGTAATCAATATTTCTCTACGTGATATGTATAAGGAAACAAAAGGCTAAGGTTTATGAAATTGTAGTGTTTTGACTTGGCTAATGGGAAGTACAAACATGTTGAGTTCTGAAAACATGAAATGATGAGAGACATTAGAATTATGGTAGCTGACAATTCATGAAATTATTATGATTAAAATATTTAATGATTGATAACGAGCATGGAATTGGTAATCAAGAGTTAGAATGTTGAAATTGCTACCTGGAATGTTAATATATACAAGTATCACGATTTGTGATCACATAATGTTCGGTAGAATTTTATAAAAGTTTAATGATATAGGGAAATTGTGTTTCTTTTGTGGACTGCCAATTGACTGAAGGACATAATTTTGCTTTGATGTGTTTTTATTCTGAACCTAACGTATTGTTATCATAAACCCACCATTATTGATTAAGGATGAAATATTTATATGAGACTTAATTTAAGGCTTGTTCCTTTATTATGATACGGAAAAGAGTGTTTATTAAAAAAAAAAAAAACCTTATGTGATCCGTGTTATTTAGAGATGTCATACCATCATTTGCATTCGGTACTTTTGTCAAATGATTTTAACAACAACTATGCTATACAATGTTTAAGGAAATCCATATTTTGGGCTACGAAATGTTTTATATGATAAGTATTTTCAGAAATAATAAAGTTGCTATGAACTTCCGACATGTTTATGATATGATAAACTTTCTGAATAATTTTCCCAAAATGACTAGATACGCTACGGAACTCCGAATGTTCAAGGTATGACAAGTTTTTTGAAAGAGATATCTCGCTATGCGTGAACGAGTTCTTCATTTGATAATTGATTGTGGCATGCTTGATGAAGGCTCTATGTTGAGCTTCAAGCTATTCTGTCTTATCTGTTATCAGTTGAATTGGAGATTGTTCTATCAAAGTTTAAATAAGTTTAATGTTATTGGGAATTATTCCATCATCTGATATCTTTGAAAGTTCTGATAAGTTCCTGTACTGTAATTTGGGAAGTATGACCATTAAGGTTTAATCTGTATTTGATTTTACTAATACTCTACTCTGAACATGTAATTCCTTGATATGAGATTTAAGTTGGTATTTGGAGTGTGTTAGGGATTTGATTTGAACTGATAAGTCTAATTTAGGTAATGAACAAAGAACCACGAAATCGTTGATTTAGAACTTAATTGCTACTGTGGGTCTAATCGTTGTACGAAGTATATACCTTTGACGCATGATTATGCCGTGAATGTTTCCTTAATCTTGAAGGAATTATGATAATGGGGGTTATTTGTGAACTTAAAAAGTTTGAATTATGTTTGATAGTTTATGAGTTGCATGCAAACGAATAATTGAAATGAATTCATTTCTGAATACCCTTAAGCTGTTCTATTTTGTGGAAGATATGATTTGTGGAGTAATAAATGAAAATGTTATGAAGTATTATTATTAATTGGGTTATCAATTATTTAGTGGAGTTGAATTACTTGTGATTTTGGGAGCAAACTCCATCAAAATTAATTGTATAGAATTGTGAATGACTAAATGATTGAGAAATGTTATATGTCCAGGACGGAACTAGACTTGTGACAAGGTGAATCAAGTTTGGAGGACCAAACTTCTTAAGGTGGGGAGAATGTAATGACCCCAAATGCGTATAGAAAGTCATCCTTATTTAATTAGGGTTTAATGTGTTTTAATTCAACTATATCTATCGGAATTAAAGAATTATCTACTGAGTTATGGCGACCTTTATTGTATCGGCTTGAAATTTTTTTTTTACCCTCCGCTCGAGCATGGGCTCATTTTTGACATTCTTAATAGTGTATTTGGAATGTTCTTACCTTATTTTGGGTTATTGCTTGAAGTGGTGGTATGATGGTAAAGTAAGATTGGACCAACGAATTTAATTCGAATAGTTAATCTACGATCAGCCGTCATTCATTTGTCCTTTTATTTTTCCACACTTTGAATTTGAATGTGAGGTTAGAACCATTGGAAAGCTTATTTCCGGGGCTTCGATTTGGACACAAGAACGACCTAGAACGGAGTCCCGATGAGAGAGTTATACCCGTTTGAAATTTTCACATCTGTGCTGGAAGCAGAGCCGCACGTGCGGGGAATAGCGCCGCACGTGCGGCCTGTGCGGGACAGCAGCTCTAAAAACGGGATTTTGGGGCCATTTCTTGCAATTTCTTTTCCTCTCTTCTTCTCCCCTCTTCCATATCCGAAACCCTAGCACCAAATCCTTGAATTCCTTTACTTTGCTCATGATCCACCATGGTTTTTGGCATCAAGGATGGAGAACAAGGGAGGATCAATGTTTTTACCCGATTAGAACTTGGATTTGTGAAGGCTTCTTCTCAAGGTCACTTCTTTGCTTGATTATTGAGGTAATGGTTTGAATACTCTTCAATACTTATATCCATAGATAGATTTGTGACATTTTATTATCTAAATACAAAATTTCCATGTTTAGAGCTTGTAGTGTATAGTATGAGATTTGGGGTTTTATGGTTTGAAGATGTTGGGAGTTAAATTGGTGGGTTAAAATGATGAATTGTGAATCCTAGATGTAGAATCATTGGGAAAATTGGAATTAAAAGTGGTAATTTAAGAAGTGTGAATTTTTGTTAAAAATCCTCATTTTTCTTGAAACCCTAGGTTGAGTAATGATGATACCCAATGATTTGGCCCAAATTGAAAGTAGAATAATGAAATTGAGGTATTGAATTATATGTGTTCAAGTTTAATTAGAATTTGGAAATGTTTGAAAATTATGTTTAAAATTTGCGAATGAACTTTGTTATGAATATTGGAATTCATGCTAGCATGTGAAGGAAAAATTGGGGAAATAATCTATTAATAGTATGAATGATATGAACTTGGTTTTGGAATGTTGAAATGGAATTTAAGAATTTCTCTCGAATTATGTTGAATTATATTTAATGATGTTGAGTTGAATCATGTTGCTTATGTTGAATTGTAGTGATTATGTGAGATGGTATTGACTATGTTGACTTTGATTTTTGTGACCTAAAATATAGAGTTCTCCAAAATGGGTTAATCCCAAATTATTTTGCTAAATACTTGTGGGCTTGCTTAGTTATTAAAATCAAGAGAATGATTTATTTTTGAAAAAATATGGAAGATGTCCATACAATTCCTTCCTATCTTGAAATCGAAGTGATTAATTAAAAATTCCATATTGTGTTTGTAAGAATGGTAATCTTCTATTTCTATATATAGATATATTGAGATGGAGGAAATTGTGGTATAATGGATGGATAATGGTAGGCTTGTGAAGAATAATAAAGGAAGGAAAGAGAACTAATGACTAAGTTATATATGTGTACAGGGCATACTTCAGGAGGGCCAAGCACTCCGCTGTAGCACTGTGAGTAGTAGTACTTCGATGTATCTTTAACCATTAATGATTATTGTTATCGACGTTATGATCTTCGTTATAAGAATTATGTTGACATGCATGTTATGTATGCTACGTAAATATTGTGAAATTATGGAAACACCAAAGGTGTATGCTATATGAGGAACATTGTGAAATTATGGAAACATCAAAAAGGATTTGTGAAATATGCATCTCGAATTTGTAAAGTATGGATCACCAACTTGTGAAATATGAAACGAAACATCAAAGGTGTATGCTATATGAGGAACATTGTCAAATTATGGAAACATCAAAAAGGATTTGTGAAATATGCATCTCGAATTTGTGAAGTATGAATTTCCGAATTGTGAACTTGTAAATTTATGAGGCCAAGGGCCGACTTGTGAATTTATGTGGCCAGGGGCCATGTGTGAACTATGAACCTATGTGGCCAGGGGCCATTTGTGAAATTATGAAGCTATGAGGCCAAGGGCCAAACTTGTGAACTTGTGAATTTATGAGGCCAAGGGCCGACTTGTGAATTTATGTGGCCAGGAGCCATTTGTGAACTATGAACCTATGTGGCCAGGGGCCATTTGTGAAATTATGAAGCTATGAGGCCAAGGGCCAAACTTGTGAACTTGTGAATCCAAAGGGCCGAAGGCCGATGTGATGAGTTGTGAATCTATGAAACCTAAAGGCTATCGTGAATGTGTGAACCCCTCAGGCCAAGGGCCGAACGGTGGAATTGTGAAACCGATAAAGTCATCTGTAATCTAATGAAAACGTGCTTATTTTGTCCTATTAACTTTACGTTAATTATGTCAACTCGTGGGAATGATGTAACGGTTACCATTAGGACTCTATTAATTACAAGGCAAGGCAACTATGTTAACATATAAGAACGATTAAACAACGGTGTATACTATTGATTAATAGAACACGTGAATTAAGTCATTTACCCAAAAGAATTTATGTTCATTCGTGAAGAATAGATTCTGAGTAAATATAAGAGTAGCCATGTGTATCCATATGAATTTGAAGTTATTTTGCTATGTTGCTTATGAATTGGAAGTTATTCAGAATCTACGATATAAGTGCAAAGTTTAGCATTTTTATGTGACTCTCATGAGAATGTGAATTAGTCTCTTATTGTTAAGCGTACGAAAATGACAGAATACAACAAGAAACACTCTAGTTATAATATGTTCCGTTTTGAATTAATGAATGATGTTCAAGTAGGCTCAGGTATGTTTCAAGTATATGTTACAAGTTTGAATATACTACAAGGTCAAACAAGTTTCAAGGGCTTTATGCCAATGTTTCAAGGGCCTCGTGCCACCACATTTCAAGGGCTTATAGCCATCAAGTTTATGTTGCAAGATTGGGCCTAAGGCCGTTATGTACTTAGCACAGAATCAGACTATTACATTGACATGTATTATGTTTCAAGTTAAGCATCATTTTATTTATGTATTACTATTCACTGAGCCCGGCTCACTCTCTATTATGTCTGTTTCTGTAGGTCAGCAACCAGGTGGTCAGTCCTAGCCAAGACGTCCGCTTTCTTTTGTCAACCTTCGTATGTCCAGGCACTGTATAAGCCATTTATGTTGTCAAGTTGTTAAGATGTTGACTTGCTTATGGGTGTCCCTCTAAGGTTGTTGTATATACTTTCATGTTCATTTTTTTTTATACGCCCAATCATAGGG